GTCCTTGGCCCTTCTCCTGCCATCTCGTAGGTGCAGAGACTTGCCACTCTGCACCCAACTGTTGAGCACCCTCAGTTTCTCCCTCCTGCAAATACCTCCTTGTGACAGAGAAAGATATACACAAACCACCAAATCCTGTTTCTACCTACGTTTTCTCATGCTGCAATTGTTTACAAGTTATGTTGATTATGCCTTAAGATAATAATAAAAGATTAAGATAATAATAAGAGGTTGACATAATAATAAGAGATTATCAAAATATGAATATAAAATATATGAGCCTAACACATGTCATCATTCAACCGCTGGTTGTCGAGGTGGTGTCCAGAAAACAATGTGGGCTTAATAGATAATTGGAAAACTTTCTGGGGAAAACCTGGTCTCATTAGAAGAGACGGCATACATCCCACTTTGGATGGTGCAGCTCTCTTATCTAGGAATATGGAGAAATTTATTAGAACACCAAACCCCTGACAGTCCATAGGTGAGACCAGGAAGCAGAGTTGCAGTCTTACATGCTTCTCTGCTGCTTCTCTATGGCTGTCACCCTCCCAATATCCTATAGAGACTGTGTCTACCCCCCGACCACCCAGGTTCTACCAGTCTAACTTTAATAATAGAAGGGCTGTTCATAACAACATTCTCCAAATAATACAACTCCATCAGAATCAAAAAACAGGACCATTAAATGTGAACTGTTAAATATTAGATCTCTGTCATCTAAGTCTCTTTTAGCTAATGATCTGATTGTGATGATTGTGTTGTGTTTCACTGTATTTTGCACTTGCTGGCGGGTTTTGGGGCTGCAAGGTGGCGCAGTTGGTAGCACTGTTGCCTCGCAGCAAGAAGGTCGCTGGTTCGCGTCCCAGTGGGGGCACCGAGATCCTTCGGCGTGGTCCAAAAACATCTTGAGGTTAATTGGTGATTCTAAATTGTCTGTAGGTTTGAATGTGTGTGTGCTTGGTTGTCTGTTGGTAGCCTGCGATAGACTGGCGACCTGTTCAGGGTGTCCCCTGCCTTTGCCCTAAGTCAGCTGGGATAACTGGTCTCCAGCCCTAGTGAACCCAAGTGAGGATTAAGTGGTGTATCGATAATGGGTGGATGGTGGGTTTTGGATGCGGATAGAGTGTGTGTGCTTTTAAGTTTTCAGGCTGGGCGGGGCTGATTGGAGGAGGATGCTCCTGCGCTGGCACAGCTGCAACTCATCACCTTCATTACACGTTGGATAAAGCCACTGTTCCACCTGTGCTCCAGTGCCAGACGATTGCCAACTCCACGAGTGGTACATTCGGTCGCTAGCCTGAGTACATGTGTCATCTCGCTAGTATTTTTGAGTTCACAAGTAACTGTGTGTTTCATTGTTCTCCAGCGTCTCCTCCACTGGCCCCAGCGTCCAGCGTCTCCAGCCCGCTACGCCAGCCTTTGTTCACCTTCGCGGATTCACGAGCTTGGATCTCCTCTTAGCTCGAGCGCCAGCACGGGAAGATCACCACATGAGCACCGGCATCAGAAAAACGCCACATGAGCACCGGCACGGGAGATCACAGCACGAGCACCGGCACGGGAGTCAGCTTGGGAGATTGCCGCACAGACACCTGCACGGGAGACAGGGGCGGATCTACCAGGGTGGCATGGGGTGGCATCTGCCACCCCTAGAAGATGCCTTACCAGCCCGGCTGCCACCCCAGTTCTGAACAATGTAATTCAAAAATATGTGGCCAGCCGGAAAGAGCGAAAGTCCGCATACAACGAAAAACAAGCGAAGTCCGATGTCCGAGTGCTTGTGAATGCACCATGAGGCGACCCGACCTCCGATGAGACTGCTCATAGTCCACCTCCCTTATGTGGAGAACCTTCAAGCAGGTTATGTAAAACTCAGAGTTTTATTTGTTCTTACCGTCTGACCGTATTCGCGCCCGGGCGGGCCGATCCGTTTTCAACGTGGATCGCAGCGTTCAAACCAAAGCGGACCAGCCTCCAGAAGCGCCGATGACGTGTCTTAAATGTGAAGCGTTGTCGTAGCGCCGTTACTCCGGAAATCGCCTTCATCATCCTCAGAAGTAAAAATCAGGAAGAGCTTCACGCGACGTAAGTTCAATGAACTTTTGATCTGCCTCGGCGTCACCAGCGTGCTTCAAATCCACATCAGAAGCGCCGGGCATCCCAGCTTTGCTCATTCCGTCGGCATGTTCTCTGCCTGCTCTCGTCACACGCCGATCCTTGCACGCAGAATTCAGAGGAAATGCGACTAAGGTGTCGCTACACATAGTTCATTTCCACATAGAATATTTCCTCTGGATCAGGCCACTGTAACGCCCAGTGCCCTGCCGCATGTTCTCTGCCTGCTCCGCACGCAGTTGAGAAGGTGCTCTCGGCACACGCCGATCCTCGCATGCAGTTGAGGTTTCGGATGCTCACCGGAATTGAGAGTGAAATGCGACTAAGNTTCTCACTGTCAATATTTTGTGGAACTAAGCTGAATTAATCTGATTGCTGTAGAGAACAAAAACAATACTTGATTAGTTATATTGTTCTGGCCTGAGTTATTTCTATAAAATTTATCTTAGCTCCTCTGGAATTATTATTGATTGATATAACTTAAACCAATTCACTTTCAGTGGGGGACATGAATGTTTTCTGGCTTATGATGGTTGACTACAGGAAAATTAATTGAA